TCCCTGGAAATTCGATCGTTACTATATAATATATGTGTATGTGTACGGTACACACGTGGCTCGGTTGCGTGCAGCTGGTTTCTTTTCTTTTCTGTCCACTGTCGGGGCAAGAGTAATTTTGAGAAGAAAGGCTGCATCCGTGGGAAAAAAAAGGGGAGGGGCACTTTCTTTCTCTTCTCGGGTAATTGGGTTTTTTGATGGAATTTTCTAGTTCTGTGCGTCTCGCCGGGTAATGGAATGGGCAGTGGGAAACGTAGGCTACGGAGTAAAGGGGTGATCAATTGAAATATGTTGGGACGCGTGTCTCGATACCATACCTGGACATTTGGCTGTCTGGAAGTTTTTGGTCGGGATCCGGACGATTTTTTTTCTTTTTCTCTCTCGTTGGAGTTACCTATCAGAGTAAAAGGCAAAATAAATTGTACGCTCTTTTTCTTTGCTCGAAACTAAAAATACAATTTTTCACGTATAGGTATACGTTGGCAATTTCTTAAAAATCACTGTCGCCCCGTGTCGTGATAAGCGGGAAGAAGTATTTCATTCCTCCCACGCGGTCTTCTATATTAAAAATAATATATAACGGCACAGACGCGATAAATCTCTTTCTTCCTCGTAACCCGCTCGTACACGCTGTACACCGTGGTAAGGTGCCTCCAAGTATCCAATAAAAAAAACATGACATCACCAGCCTTTTGTTTTTTTCTTCTCCTCACACATCTGAAAATAGCCGATAAACAATCACTGCCACAGAGGGAAAAGGAAATTGTGCCTCGCAGTACCCGGAGCATCGGTCACGAATGGCCATTTCATTTGATTAGAGAGAAAGCACCGAATAGGCCTACGCGCCCCCGTTGCTCTCAGATGGATTGGCCTACTTCCTCTCTCGGTAAGCTTTTTTTTCCCTCCCCCTCCCATCCTGGAATCGATGACGAAACAAGCGAACACACGCGCATCCACGAATCGATGCTCGGGAATATCCCACCTTCGTCGACCGGTTGATGGAAAAAACACGTGGACTACCGTCTAAAAGATGTTTGCTCTGTCCCTGATTGCACTTTTTTCTCGCGCGCGTGCGTAATTGAAGGTCAGCCGGGCCTGAAACAAAATCCCACGGGGAATAGTTGAGGGAAGAAACGTGACGAGGCTTCACGGCTTCTCTGGCCTTTTTTTCCCCATTATAATTAACGAAACGAGAAACAAAGCCATTTCAATCAAATAAAAATTCTCCATGCTCGCGGGGAAAATTGCAAAAATTCCGAGCTAATGGCGAAAAAAAATTTCAATCCCACGGGCTGCGAGAGTACGCGTAACGAGATGAAACGCGCGATGCGTCTGGTATGTCGCGCGATGGCCTATACGCGTCATCCGCTGTACCCACTCTCATGTATACATACTACACACCTGTACATGCATGTCGATCGATGCACATTTGCATCACGACGGGAAGCAACGGTCAATTAGAGGTGTAATTAATCAACGCGATCGATAGACATCCGAGTTTTCAAGCCAACGGAAATACCGTCACGAGTGACACTCTGAAGACTCGTGAGGAATTTTTCCCTCTGCGAGAGTGTGAGAAGGAGTGGGAAATCGCACATGTATAATTGAGTCGTGTGTCAGTTGTACAAGTAAGTATATACACACGGTGAGGGGTTGGAAGTACGAAACTTGGTGGCCCATTATCCCCGCTTGTTCATGCGAGCGTTACCTACTCTCTACACTGTGGCAACAAAATTTCTCCCCGTCCTCCCTCTGCTCCCTTCAACATGTAAATGTACTCGGTGCAACACGTATGCCGTGTGCCCACCCCCAGCATCTGTGCCCTCCTGAAAAAGATAAGCCGCCAAGACTGTGTGTTCTGGCTTTGGCGCGAGTGACGGTACCAACTTGTGTGTGCTCGAGGTGTATAACACGCAAAGCGAGCCCGGCTTCTTCCACCCCCCTTCCTTCGTTTTTCTCGCCGCTATCAAACTTTCTTAACAAGAATCCCCCAGCCCCTCCTCGTCTTGTCATTGCGGAGGATCGTGAAAATCTCCTAGCGCGTAAATCTCGCGCCGACGCCGCTGAATACTCTCCGTTAGTCCTCTCGTGACTTTTTTTTTTTTTTTTTTTTTTAACCTTCAAACCAATAATTGAAAAATGAAAACACTTTGCTAAGGTACAAGTCAAAGGAAAATCTTTCAATTTCGACATGGTTCAACTTTTGATAAGTGCAGTAAAGTGCGAGGTTTTTGTACAAAGTTTATGAAAAATTCTTCTCCCAAAAAAAAAGAAAAGAAAAAAAAAAGTACATTTTTACCACACAGGTAATTACCGAGCGATCCAAAAAAATCCGAGCAGAGCCAAAAAAACACGACCAAAGCGATGACGCGATAGAGTGCGAACGANTTTTTTTTTTTTTTTTTATCTACCCAATTATTTTGCGGAAAATCTGTGCCTGTTTTGCAACGTTGGGCAAATCTTAGTTTCGTGTGTGCGTGTACCTACTTTTGGATAAATATTTGCATGTGCCCCAAATGTAAAGGGTTGCTATATGATCGTAACGAGACTACCCTTTGGTCGATCAATTGACAATTTCAATTACGACTGCGTCAATATTGTTTCAGGTACTACGTTTTCAACGCGCAGTTTCAATTCCAAGTTTATTTCATTTCAGCACTGAAAAATGAATATTCCTCTTTGAACCCTATATACATATATATATAAAATACAGAGTCCAGCTCTGTTTCGTGACGCGCGTCTCCCTTTTAGTTTCGCACGTCAGCCCAATCGTCCGATCGAAACAACGGATCGAATTCAACCGAAGCCAGTTATCCTCGAATTTCATTTTTTCGTCTTTCCACTTCTCGGCCGCGAACAAAACTCGATCCGTGCCGATCCCGAGCCTCGACGGGAAGGCGAATTATCGATAGCGGCTCACCCACATTTCGCACAGCCGCAATTTCAGGGGAAAAATAACTCAAGGCGAAACCGAGCTTCGGAGCGGCTGGACGCGCTCTTTTGCACGCAAAATCAATACACGGCAGCCGGCTGTGTGTGAAATTACTCGCACGCGTTTGATTACCGCCACCGTTGTGCCCCTTCGCGTTCAACGGACGTAACGAGCCCTCCCCTTTAACAGTTGCGACGGTACTTTCTGCCCGTCCTGTCCCCAGAAGAGAGAAAAAAAAAAACTCACACGTACAGGCCACGATTACGTCCCTAACGAGGTGGCCGACGCAAATTAGCCGACGCTCCAATACCTCCTTCTCCTCTTCCCGCCGGGTTGAAATTTCACAGAGGTGTTTATCCGCCCTCGAGTCCACCTGCAGCCCCGTGCGTCCCTAACTTTTGCGCGATCGAGAATCAGCTGTGTGATCTCACCCTGAAAGTTTGGTACCGCGAGACTTGTGAGTCGACAAACGTCAACCCATGTCGCACACGCAGCCAAACAATCACCGCCGCGCAGCAAAATTTAACGCGTGTCCCCACAATGGACGTCAATTCATTGTTTGAAAAGTTCATGGGCTATTGTTTAGCAAAGCTAATAGTGAAAAGTGTAAGGCGTGCGTGTTTGCGCATGTTGTCGACGTATACGTGCAGGCACAGAGCGATCGAACTTTATTTTAAAACGGCAAGGAGAGAAAAGTCGAGCGTGTGCAAAATCATGCGACAATTTCTTCAACGTCGCTTTTCGCTACAAATTCCCTTATTTTCTTATTTTATTTTACTTTAGAGTAACTGTGTGTGGTTTTTTTTTTAATTAATTAAAATAAAAAAGTTATCCCCTTGAAGATTCACAGTGATGAGTTGTCATGTTTCATTTTTTTCATCATTAAAACCATCCTTTTACTTATGAACAAATCTTGACGTGTAACGTAGTGTCCAAGCAAACGCATTAATACTCCCACGCGTTTCGGTCTCCGAACCATTGCGATAAGGCTTGGTTGCAATTACTCAAAGCTCGATTGTGCAAACATGATTTTTCCAGTGAAAATTTATTGGTTATTGACTTTTTGCTATTGTTGTTGGTTATTCGTAAATCGAGTAAGCATGAGCTTTTATAATAAATGAAAAAAATATCGGTTTACCGATCCATTTTTATATTCATTTTGCAGGCAGCGACATTGTTTTTCAAATACATTTTTATGTAAAAAAAAAAGAAAAACACGTTGCCTCCGAGTTATTTTTACGCAAATTTTTTTTTTTTTTTTTTTTTTTTTTCATCGAGACAAGAGAAAAAAAATGTTTTGCCCAGAACTTAACGCGGCATACGGGCGAGTCAGTAAATAATTTTGAATAATTTTTCCCAAATGAATCCCAATCCCACGGTGTGTTTTTTTTCGGATGCAGTGTAACATACACCACCACCCATGAATCGATTGAATATTTACGTTACTATCGTAAAATTCCCCTCGTTTTCATCGTTTCCGACACCCGTGGTATTTACTTCAACAAGATCTCAGATAAGACCCCAACTAGAAATCCCTTTTCTCAGCTCTCAGATCCCCACCAAAACTCCTTGGCGATCTTTTTTCCCTCTTGTTCCGATAAAAAAGCTCGAGGGTGTGAAAATGACGAACATCGGCGCCACTGCAAAGGCGTCCAGAAGTAGAACAATCGGACTTTTCTCGGTAAAAAAACTAACTGTTACCGTACCACTCGACCCTCGAACAAGTGCCCGCCAGCGAAAAAAGTTTCCGCGCCTTACGTATTTTTTCTTCCCTCCTCTGAATATTTCATGAACTGCTCGTGCGATCGAAGTGAACACCGTTTGCGTTTCAACGTCAATTTGTCCGGCGAGTCTGCAGCCGATCGCGGGTACCACCGATACGTGATTGGAGTTGAACAAACAATCTCCAATGTCGATTTCTGAGCAAACACTGGGCAAACAGAAAAAAAAAAAAAAAAAAAAAAAAAAAAAAAAAAAAAAAAANAAAAAAAAAAAAAAAAAAAAAAAAAAAAAAAAAAAAAAAAAAAAAAGAAGAAAAAAAAAAGCAAAGGAGACGAAAAAAACTTACTGTTGCGCTTGACAGCTGCATGCCCGTAAAGCCTGCTCAGGTCGATCGCGAGCGCAGCCTCCGGCAGACCGCCGAGGACGGCGAGCGCGAGTCCGAGCGCGAGTAAAGCTCTGCCCTTGAGCTCCGTCCTCCGGGAACCGAGCGGACCAGCTGCCAAACTCGACGATCCATGGATCCCCCGTGGATCCCTGGCGCGGCCCATTTTGTCTTGGTGATATCCCTCAATAACTACTGCAGCAGTAACTGCGCGATTATATATATATATATATAATATGTGTATGTATACACGGGCAAGGATGGATAGACGCGCGCCTGCCGCCGCGCGAGCAAGCGAGCGCGAGACTAGTTGCAGCGAGGATCGCGCGAACCGAGCTAATGTCGATCCCCGTCCTCGTCCTCGTCGGCGTCGCCGTCGTCGTCGGGAGCAGCTGCTGGCTCCTCGCCGCCGCCGCCGCCGCAGCTGCTCTCGCGGGCTCCGGCGCTACCTGCTCTGTGCATGCGCGTGCTCTCTCTCCTCGCGCTTTTCTGCAGCTCCTCTGCTGCTGCCCACCTGCCAACTACCCACGCACGCGACTCTCTGCTCCTTCTATTCTGCTGCTGCTGCTGTTTCTTCTTTTTCCACCCTGATACTACCCTCTCTCTCCTGTCCTCCTCCTCCCCCCCCTCAACCCCGTACAGATCGATCCCTCTCCGGTGCTGCCGCGCGCACGTATAACCTTCCCACCCCCACCCCCTGGCGCGACTCTCTCACCTGACACTGGCGCGCGGATGAGAGTCTCTCCCCTCACCTGTGCCGTTACCTCCCGCCCCCATCGTTCACCTCTACCTGTGTACAAAGAGAGAGAGAGAGAGAGAGGAGAACAAAGGGCCGGAGGGGGTGGAAAACCGAGAGAGTACAGTTGGACGGAGGTGCGAGAGACTGTCTTGATAGCCGATGGTACTGCAGGTGCGCCAGTTACGTGTACACGTACATGTGCACGACTTCCGCTTTTAGCCCACCGTATATGCATTCAACCCCTTTGCTACAGTTTATGTATACGTGCGAGTGGAGGGAGAAGTTACTTTGTTCCCGTGGCCCTTGCTCTTTTTCCTCCCTCGCGTGCCACACGTATGTATACATACTCGCCGATTGCACTTTGCTGGACTCTGCAACTGGTGCTCCTATATTCCGTTATCTATGCCAATGGCACAAATCCGGGGTGCTATTTGCTAAAAAACGTGATAAGAGAGAGAGAGAGGGAAGTTTTTTTCTCCCCTGTTTGAGAATAAACCAGCCATGAGAGTACGAGCTTTTGTTTTTATTTCGTATTTAGATGCAAACGTGTACGTTTCATCGAACGCTCCGGGCAAGTACCTTCGCTACCAGTAAACGTATACACGTATACCTACGTTGGTCGCGTAAGACGCAAGGCTCCCCTGGGGAATTGAGGCTGAGCTTAGACTCGAGGGTGGTTTGCCATCGTCCTCCGTTGTTGCCACTGGGAAGATGATGGGATGAACTCTTTTAATTCAATTCGATGTCATTGCGCACTTTTTAAAGCGCTTTTGTTGAAACACCTTCGACTGTAAACAAAAGCAAATAGCGGCAAGAGAGTCACTTATCTTTTGTTACGGCAGTCAAAACTGTGCTCTTTTTGGGTGGATTATCGCGTGAAATCGTATTACGGGGCGAGTCGTTTACGTAATTAAAGCCTGACATTCGCAAAGGATGAGAAAATATTCTTCCGGAGCCCATAGATTGGTTATTTTTCAAGTTTACGGGCACGTCTGACCATACGCCGAGCATTACTACTTGCACGCCTTACCGAGCTGGTTATTGGTTTTCTCGTCCTTCGGTCGTTTTTAAAATCTATCCGTAGCTGTTTTCCTGTGATAATCAACACAGGGAAAGCACACAGGTGCACGTGTGCGCGTGTGTTTGCGTAGACAGAGATGGGAGCCAAAGCTGCACGTTTTTGCGCGGAAACCTCGCTCGCCCAAGGGGGATTCGATTCTCCTGCCGTTGCTCTTCTCCAGTGTTTTCATTTCCTTTTTCTACAGCGCTGCTGCTGCACCGAATGCTCTTACATGCTGTCTGAACTTAATTCTACTTTTGCATGTATGAGTACTTTGAGTACGAGGAACGACCGAGCAAACCGTGTACACATTATTGTAAATCGAAACGGGAAGGGGACATGAAAGTTTATCGATCGATCGATTGTATTTTTTTTTTTTTTTCTTTTGACGCTCGTCGTTCACCCTTATTTTATTTACGTTTGTCATAGCTTATCTATAGAAAAGCCGTAGTTTGTAAGAAAATAAAAATGAATTCGAGAGATTTTTTCTTGCGTACACATACTTACCTCCGAGCTGCTCGTCCTTTAAAGCTCCGCAAATTCACGCACCACTTGACCTATTCAAAAATATGCGGAATAAGAATGAGAAGAGTCTACCTAGCTTTTTTTTGTGCAGGTCTTTCCTTGAATTTTTATACTGGTGATTGTGATAGAGGACTATTTTTTTGAAAAAAAAAACTTGGCAAAGTTTTTACAGGGTTCCAGACTAGATACTTACTTTGGCGAACAAGAAATGGTAAAAGGACCTCGGTAAAACCCTCGTAAAAAAACATTTTTTTCTTTCCGGTGCTTGTTATAACACATTAGGAGCCAAGTTACGATGATTTGCAATAAAATACAAAAGTACATCCCTCGTAATCCCGTTATCAATCACTTCGATCACCTCGCACGCGCACGTTGCTGTTAGCCCTCGGATCATTCGTCTTACTCATCCCGGACGCCCGATCCCACCCCCCCAAAGTTTCGGGTAATAAAACGCAGAGTTGGCTCGTAATTACACTTTTCATTACAATGATAAACGCGTTTAACACGAGTCACTTTCCGAATTTCAGTACCTCCCCTCCCCTGGATCGTGCAACAAGTGAGCACCTTCGTACACACGCCTATCAATCACGCGACGCTTCCGTCTTTTTGGAAGCAATCGTAGACGGGAACGAAACGGAAAAAAGGAGGAAAATTAATTCCACCAAATTGATTGTATCAGGTGTTACGAAAGAATGGAGCGAAGGCAAGACCGACTGATTTGCACAGGGAGGTGCAGGAGAGATGGAGAAAGGGTACGTTGGATATGGAGTCGGTGTAGGTGAGGAAAGGTGTGTACTCCCAGGTGTCTTTCTCCCCATTCGTCCCTCTCCGTGGAGTTAATGCTCTCCCTCTTTTATTGCTCGGATGGCAGTCGGGCTCCCTTTTTCCTCTCCCACCCGGTGTTTTGGGAATTGCTCGGGAAGTCGTCTCATCGAGTAAGAGCCGGGCAGATACACGCGAAGCGATGCTCCTGTGGGCCACTCTTTATTTCTCCGCCCGCGTCTCTTTCGCCTCCGACTCGTTTGATGGCCTTTTTTCTAAATGTTTTATATGACTCGGCGAATACGTGGCTGCCCGGGGTTTTTTCTCTCTCTTTGCTTCCCTTCTGTTTCGCTGTTGGGTATTGCGGGGGTGAATCATTTTTTTCTGAATACTCAGGTGATAGAGTTACCATACACACATCCACCAATTATACGAAGGTAGTCCTTCATGCGCGTTGCAGCCGTTTTTTTTTTCAATTTATCATCTAGAGCGCCTCTCCTTTCATTCTCAGACTGGTGCTTTTGAAAATAATTTCCATCGAAATAACGAATTTTTTTGCGTTGGCTGGGAATTATTTTACGAATCAAGTTACAAGCTGTTATTATATTTTTACATGTAAGGCACATCAGACACGAGAACAGCGAGAATTTGTAAACTTAATATTTTTCTCTGATTTGACCATTTTGGTACACCCTTTTCAAATTTAACGCTGACGTCAGAGGACCGTGAGTCTCGTAAATTTACAGGCGACGATGGCACGAGACGTACATACAGGTGTGAGGTATTTTTTTTTTTTTTTATTACTCACCATTTCAATTGAGCAATCAATCTTTTTCCTCGTACCCCTGTCAGGATGGCCGGCTGCTCGTTTTTTTCCTGGCAGTGAGCCAAAAGTTACCATGTGCTCTGTAAGTGCGGGCCATTGTGTGTTTGCTCTTGCCAAATAGCATCGAGTCAATAAAACGCTAGACTCACGTTATTATGAATCCTAAATCATACAAGAGCATCGAATAATTCATGATTGCTCAAAGTGGTAAAATAATGAATTTTTATTAGCTGAGTGGATTGAAATGTATTTCCAAGAATCACATATACCTCGTATTAAAGGATAAAAGTGTCAGTAGCGATTCAAAGCTGCGTACACGCTACTCCTCTCCATTTCCGTTCTGCACAAGTCAAGTTTATATTTCAGTTTATTTCTCCCCCTCCCCCTCCCATGCACCCTCCATATAAACTCGACTTTACATATCAAAGCTCTTTGCGAGAGTGTACGTGTGCATCCGCGATCGAAACAAATGCTTTTGGCGTATCGAGAATACGGATAGAGTAACTCTGGATTTGCCAAATAAATATTCTTTTCCAACGGAAGACAAAAATATAGAGGAAGAGCCATTATCCTAAATCTCTCGAAGGAAAAACGGCATTAGACAACACACTTGACGAAAAATTAAGAAAAAAAAGAAAAAAAAATTATCCAGACAGCTTGCTTTGATCCTCGAGGCGCATCAGAGACAAAGTAACGCGATGAAAGGACGAAGGATGCAGTGCGCCTGCAAGAAGAGCCCTAAAGCCGACGACGCTTTTAAGCTCATCGATTTCCTACCTGCACTCTCGCGCACCTATTTTCGAGCCACATCCGAGCAAAGGTCGGGGCTGTTTGAAAAGGAATAATGATTTGGATTTATTTTCGAGGTGACGCTGATGATGACGATGATGATGATAATAATAATACCGTGATCTTTCATAATTTTTAACTATAATCCAACTTTTTTTTGTTCAATAACTGTGGCTTGATCTAATGAAAAGCTAAATAACATCAGCAGTTTTGCAATTTAATTGTTTACCATTAAAACTATTAGATTATTATAAATCATATTTTGTAGTCGAGCGAATTCATTTGTCCTGTGTTTGCACCATTATCTTAAAATAATTTTAATTCGGTAGGTTGAACGAAATATTTTTATCCCTCCATCATTGCCGTGATATCCCGTTTGTGTGACATTTGAATAAATGCCACGAGGAAGAGCTACAAATGTATCCTGATACTTTAAAAGCATCGCATTCTCTCGGCAACACACTCTCAAGATGTCGGGTAGTGACAAAGTACTTGCGTTACCAGATTCAGTGGTCGGTCATCATAATTCAGGTGTACCTCAAAGAGACCGCAGAATCAGACCCTGTCAGCCTCGATGAGTGACGCATGAGTTGTCTTGAATAACCATGACAGGCCGAAATTGGGCGTTTGCGTGTGTACACACATGTGACGCACGAAAATTCGATAAAACGTCGTAAAAGGTGATATGATTTTGTTGTATTTCATGCGTTTTCCTCGAAAATTTGAAAGATGAAAAAAGCCCCTTGTGTACACAGGAAGCGTATAAAAAAACTGTATTATAGTATTCTTTATT